AGAACAGAACAAGACTGCAGTATCTCACAGTCCTGCCTGCTATCAAATATAGAGTTTTCTATAGGCTATTACTGGAAATGGTCAAAATTTTATTTAAGAGGTTCAAGAGGCTTAAGTTTTGTGGGCTAAAAATGACAATAAACTATTATTTGTTAGCATATATATGAAATTAATGCTGCTTTCTGCCACATTTCTGTCTGTTTTGTTCTTTTTCCAGAGGATTGCTTTGGTTGTGATTTCCTCAGCTAAAAAATACCACCTTCTGAATATCTCTTCTTCACTTAAATTCAGAAATCATCCTTTTGTGTGCTCAAAACCAAGGAGGTTGTCATTAATATTCATTCAAATGGATACACTATACACAGTGTAAAGGAATGAAGAACATTTAAAAAAAGATAAAAATAGGAATTTATCCATTTTGCATCTCACCTATCTAAAGACATACAGAAATAGAAATGTTGACATTTGAAGAAATACACTTCTTACTCCAATATTCTTCTTCTGGAGTCCTCTAAATGAAAGTATCTACTATTGACCTGTAGCTTTTTTTGGTTTGTTTTTCTCCTCAAGATGCATTAACTTAATATCACTTTCATTCCATTTGAAATTTATTTTATATAACTGTGTATATTGACTTTAACATTCTAACCTATTAGTGCTCATTCAAAGGACAGTGTAATTCAAAATGTCACCAGTAATGGGTAGTTATGACATTCATAATGATTTTTACCTAAAATGGCCAAAAATGACTTGACAAATTGAATACATTCTCTCTGTGCGTTTGCATTTAATAAATATAATATTTAGAATATGGTCAAATAATGATTCAGCTTTGATCTCCTAGCAAAAGGAGAGAGAGCATTCCTAGCAAGTACTAATTGATTATTCTTCTCTCTCTATGACTTTCATGCTGAAAGTTTCCTGGCAGACTATGTAAATATTGCTAAGGATAAGCTATTTCACTAATTCTACCAGGACTAAGGAGTCTGAGGGGAAAATTAGCCATGTAGATTTTAGGCCATGGGAGGAAAATTCTTCTAATGTTAATTAAATCTCTTGATGTTTAAACTTATATAGTGAAAAAAGAACAAACAAAACTAACAGTTCTTGGGAGGTCTCTAGTCATTTAGAAGATTATACATTAGAGATCAATAGAGAGTATGAAAATATACTTTTTTTGTTTAGAGGTTATCGGGAAAGTTCAAATGACCCACCATCTGGAAAGGAAAGAAAAAACCCAAACCCCACAAAGCCAAGCAGCTGTACTAGGAATAATATAGTGTGCTCTTTTGCCAAAAGGTTATTATTGGGAGCACGGTAATAGATATTTAATTTACAATTGAAGTTTGCTGTTTCACATATTTTAAGCATCTCATTTGATACTCTCTGTCTAAGGTAAGAATGAGATTCCTTAAAAAAAAATCCATATTATTTTATTTTTCCCATTAATTAAATATTTATATAGGGGCCTATAATACCTGCTTGTCTTCTAAGAACCCCAGACAAATAAATCACTGCATTCTGAAGGTAAATCTGCACACACACACACACATACAAAAAACCCCAAGTTTTCAAAACACATGCACCTAGTAAAACTAAATTCTAGACTGTGCCTCTTTTGATGAAGTAAAGGCTTGTCTCTAGAGGTCAGAATTCTGGACAATATTTTACACTGTATTTGTTAATACTATGTTCACTATTATCTCATAAGGCAGCCAGTTTAAAAGTGGTACACCAGTCCCTTGTTAGGCCTTTTTTGGTGAAAGCTGCAGATTTAGAAGTTATTGACAGTATGTTATCTCTTAAGCTGGCAAGGCACTGGAGAGCAAAGGTCCTAGAGAATAAAAGTCTGATATCCTTTTCCATTCCCCACCAAGCAATTTGAATAGAAGGAATTAAGCCATATTAATATGACTACATATCACACATTGTAGAACCCACAGGGTAAGTCAACAGGTCTTAGTAGTTAGTTTTGAAAGAGATAAATTATTAAAAAGGAGTAGTATAATTTATCAGCAGCTGAAGGAAGTGATCCAGCAAAAAACAGAAACATTCATTAAAGATCATATTTTAGTCCCTTGTCTGAGCAGTATTGGGTCTGGTGTACAGAGAGAACTCAAAGGGTGCTCAGATCTTCCTGCTCTTCTGCTTTCTCTTTTTCCTTTTTTCTGGAGATATGATATTGCTTATGGTCTCATTTGCATCACGGTAACCTTATTACCTATCACTGGACATTGAAAATCCTTTTTGGAGAAGGATATTAATGTTGACAACTAACAGTGGATCCATTCGTGTTACTTATGACACTTTAAAAAAGGAGCCGTGAACACTGCTTTTCTCCTCCTTTTAAAGGTGATTTTGGTCAGAGGTGTCAAAGAAAGGCTACAGGAAACATTTCTGTCAGAGCTTTTATTCACTATGCTCTCATGCACTTTTGCTACATCCTACCCCCTTTTGCATTCTCTTGCTTCTGTCATGCCCTATTCTTATCCTCAGTCTGTCAGTCAGAGACAAATCTCTTCAGATTGCAGCACAATATTAACTCTGTATAGTTAAAAATTAAATTTTAGAAAGCTAAATACAGAAAATATGAAAAGTTACTTCTAAGACATAAATTAAAATCCTGTACTGTTGTGTATAAGCCTCTAGAAACCTGTATCCAGATGGAAAATTAGAGTTATCTTATCATAAACTGTCTTTTATTGTGTATATGGTGTGTTACTAGTTTTGACAACTCCTGGTTTCATATTTATGTTTCCAAGGAAATCAAAATAAGAATGAAATTTATAGTTATGAAGAAGAAAGTAATTGTACCAATGCAAGAGGAATGGATTACTTAATATTATACTTTCTTTTTGACAAATAACTTCTATAGTTCTGTGATTTACTCTGTGCTTTCATAAAAAAACCGGTGCATCATTCAGCCTGACTTAAGGCAATATTTATTGTTTGTGATTTTTCAACTTTTATGATTAAACTAAACAGATGATTAAAATGAAACTTGGTATCATGGAATGCATTTATTCTAATAAGCATTGTTACAGCCTTGCACAATGGTCTTTTTAAGTATCAGAATTTTCATTCCTCAAATGAGATAGGCCTATTCATGTTCCAAATGCCATCATCACAAAAATCCCATACCAGCTTTTAAGACTAATCTCTAGTCATTTATATATCCCTGCTCTGCCTTTGAAAGTGCAAAATTACATAAGTAGTTATATTTGGGGGGGAAAAAACCAACCAAACAAACAAAAACACAAGCCTTCATTTAATTGAATGATTGAGCTCATTGCATCTATGTTTGCCCAAATGCTAGGTCACTTACATAGCCTAAAATATTTTTCAGAAGCATGAGAGAACCTGCTCTAGGAAGAGAGTTGTTAGGCCAGCTGTGCATCAAAATAATAACTTTTTGATTTGCACCCTGGTAAAACATGCAAATAGAACAAGTAGTCGTGGACAACCCTATAACAGTAAAGAGATTTCATTTTGTTTAAAAAGAATTTATATCAGGTCTTAATATAGAAGAAGAAGAAAAACTAAATTTATTTTTGAATAATCATTTGATTATGAAACTGAAGTGGGCAAATTTAATCTGTGTCTTCAAGCAGGTTATTGTGAAACAGTGGAGCAGTAGATTTAAATAGTGATAATATACACAATAGCCACATCCTGTCAAACACCGATGAGTAGTAATATCTGCATGTGACAATAAACAATCAAGGAATCAAACTCAGTATCGCACATAAGTGAAGATAAAAAAGCAAACAGAACACTGTTAGTGTTAAAGAGAAGGATAGAGTGCAGCTCAGGAAAAATTGTTTTAATGCTCTGTGGGGCTTTTAAAATTGTGTTTACACAGCTGTATGCAATTTTAAGCACATGTATAATCAGAGGCCTTAAAAAGACAGAGAGATTTAAAAGGTTCACAGAAAGCCAAACTAGAATGAGTCATGTTCAGAGGGCTCACATATGCAGAAGGCCTGATGAAACTGAGACTAAACTATGAAAGCTGTTTAGGCAAAGTTGTTTTTCATGTTTCTAAGGTGTTGTAGATGGTGAGAATGAATGCACACCAAATCTTGTGATAGGGTTGTGGTAAAAGTGCTAGAGACCAGATGATGAGTGTTAAAATATAATGTCTGGTCATCTTATGCCATCAGAATATTATAAATAGTGGTAAATGTGTCTAGATTTGGGTTCCAAGTTACTTCATGCAGAATATTTCAACTATAAAGCTATATAAATGATTTCATTTTTATTTTGGGTGAGAAAAATGCTTTGAAATTGTAAAAAACCTTTTTGTATACATGTTTGTGCATAAAAATATCTTATTTATATTTTCCATAAAAAGCTAAAGACTGGTTGAGGTGATCATCATTATTGAGTGGGTTATACAAAGGCTGGTCATAAAGTCAGACAGAGTTAGCACTGTGAAAAACCTATAGAAAGTGCCAGTCTGCGTTGCTAATCTATGCGGGTGCAGCAGTATATTTAACAGATGCATATGTGAGAGAAAGTTGAGTTGATGTAGCTGATTTCCTTCAGGAAACACGTATTAGGTCTAGGGACCTATGCTGCTACTCTCAAAGGGACTTTGAGATGGAGGTCTCTCATACTAACTGGGGAGCTGAAAGGAAGTGATCATTTTTGGCTGAGCTGTTGGGGTGTGTGAGTAAGGTTTGCTCTGAGCATGTACCTCTGAACAAACTCTCAGAATGACTATTATGGGATGGAAATGTCCAATTTGAGGCTTCCAAAGGACTATAAGATGAGAAATGGATTCACCACAATAGTAGGCAAACCCAATTTGGCACGTGCAATACCAGAACTTCCTTCACCTAAATAGTTTTAACAATAAAATTCAACTCTGTCAGGAAAAGTTATTATTTTTGTCATATGCTTGCTTTCATACCCAAATTGCAGCTGAATTATCATTTCTGTGATCAGACCCCATTGATGTGTCATTTTTCAGTATTCTCATTATTCAGTATTCTCACCATTTCATCAGGACCATCCTCAGTGTAAAATCAGGGGATATGCACACAGCTGGGAACTCAAGGAACTCATCTGTTCTGGGATCAGAAGATATGGACACCCAGTGTCACTCTGCTAATGTTCAGTCTTTACAATCCAATAAAATTTTTACTGAGTTGATGGAAAATGCCCTTACATTAGGATAAAATGGAACATAACAGCAATAGCTGAAATAAGATGTAAGGGGATAAGCAGTAAATGTAGGGAAGAATTCTCTTATTGTTGCTTAGATTTTAGTTGATATTTTGACATACAAAGAAATTTTCTGTTCCGGACAGGCTCATTCTTATTTCTATTAGCTTGCAATACACATCCTTCCTTGCTCCTTGCAAGTTCTCCATCCCTCCCTATGCATCCTGACATTATAAAATTCTGCCAATGCCTCATTTCTCATTGGTATTAGACAAGTTTAAAAACTACACTGCTTCTGGAGTCTGTCCTGTTTAATGGCCTTTTTCTGTCTTACTGATGGTGTCACATAGGATTACTTGGTCTATCTTCTGTCTATGATCCTAAATGAAGCACTGTGTTAAAGACTAAAACAATTTTTGTCCTGCTCTGACTAGTTTAAAGCTACAGTCTTGAGCTTGGCTTGGTGGGGGTTTTTTGTTTGTTTGTTTTTGTTTTGTTTTTTTTTGTTTTGTTTTGGTTTGGTTTGGTTTTTTGTTTTGTTTTGTTTTTTAATTTTATTCGAACAATGTTTTTAAATATTTATGCAGGCAAATCTTTATACAACTGGCTGTACCTCAGGGGACTAGGGGTAAAAATGATGTGACTAGGCCTAAGACTTCTTTGAAAGAGCTTTAAAAAGTATAGTTTTGATGTTTTAAAAGCTATTTGTCTACCAATTTAACTAGTTCAAAGCAAAACTGTCTCCTTTTGTACAGCTTTGAACATAAACCAGCCTCTAGGCACAATATCATAATCTTCCCTAGGGATACTCCATTCCAAAATGGTGGTGGTTTGAGATTGTTTTGTTTTTATTTGGTCTTTTGTTTTCTTTTCAAACTGATAGTGTCAGCTATATTCAAAACAGAACATTGACCTAGGTGGGCCACTGGTTCCTCTCAAATGGTATGAAATCTCTGTTTATACCACAGCAGTGATGCAAGGATGTTGAATACATTATTGCTTGACTGTTCTGCATTTAAACTGGATATTTCTGTGGAGAAATTTCATTATTTCACATTTGAAAGAATGGAATTAGGTGTCTCTGTGTGTCTTTGGAGATTATTTTGGCAAACTGTTCTTCTTTTGAGATCTGAAGAGGTTTGAATGGTGTACACAGATCTGGGTGAGAAAGATAAGCAGACAGAGAAAGGGATGAGACAATCAAAAGTGCATGATGAATGCCTGGTTTTGAAATTAATTATATGGGTCCCATTCACGTAATAGTCTTTATCTGGAAAACCGGCAAAATGCTTAAATTGCAGGACTATCCTTCCTTTGCAAACTTTATTGCAATTGGTTTACAAGGTTTCTCAAAACCCATTTCCTGTTTATTTCAGACTGACTATATTTTTTGCTTAGTATGAGGTTCATATGAGCTGTGGGATTTTTAATTTCAATACTGATCTAATTTGAACGTGTAGAACAGCCCAGTTCTCAGTTCCTAGTTCCTGAATTCCAGGAAAAGTATTTGGAAACTCAGTCATACATTGCAGTCTAAGTATTAAAAAGTCTATTTTTATTTCTCTTCTCTATTGCACTACTTTGTCATCAACTTCATACTCTTGTACATTTACATGCTTCAATCTGCATCTTTTAATATCTATTGGGCAAATCTAATTTACCATTTCCTCTTATTTTATAGATATTTTTCTCAGTGTTTGCTGGACATTTCAAGTAAATGTCTATGTTTAAGAGAAATCATTACTTATCCATGATGAAGATGATGTTTATCTGTGTAAAGTTTCACTAAGCACATAATTTTATTCAAGTTTTAATCAGAAACTAAAAATCCGTGAAACAACCAGACTCAAGGGAAGGCACAGTTATCCATCAAAAAGTGACTTCACTGTTGTTGTTTGGTGCTTTCAAAACTATTAAATTATACAAAGACTGAGGGGGAGTAAATATGTTTCAGCTATACAGTAATTTTTAACCACAGTGCACCAATAAGTATATCAATAAGAAGTAACCAGTAGTGAAATAATTGTGTTAGTGTCTCCAAAAACCTAATGATTTAACAGTCAAAAATGTTTAAAACACCATTCTTCTAGAACAATCACGGTTAGAAAATAGTAATAATGAAGAATCATAATTAGAAAATAAGGGAAGGCTTTAAAAATTATAAATGTCAAGTTGTGGGCATCAAAGACAAAAAGAAATTGAAATTTAATGAGTAATTAAGAGATGTTCATTAGGTCTCTCTCCTGTCAAACTGGATACAGTTGGGCAGTGCTGTTCCTCTCATCTGAAAACATATATGGATAAATTCTCATTTGTGCACCTCAGTGAAATAGTGAATCTTGACTGTGTGACATTAGCAGAAGGCTGGTGCTGAGCAGTGTTGGTGGCTCTCTGGTACAGTGGTTGCCCTGCACATGTTCTCTTCCTCCTAGAGGTCTCTGCCATCAAATCCTTTATATCTCTAGGGGGCTCTTCTTCATTTAACAAATATGCACTGTGCAATTACTGCTGCATGCCAGATCTGCTACCTGCTGTAAACATTTGTATGTTGCTTATGGATGACATCCAAGAAAGGATTAACTTTTACATTCATGATCAAGTTGTTTAAATAGCCATAGCAAGCTAACTTATAAGTAGTTCAGCCAGCCAGACACCACACTAAACGACATTCTGGAAGAGTTTGTCAAGAAAAGGTTTAAGTGCTGACCACTTTACCTCCTTATTCTTTGTACTCCATCAATATTGACATTATCTTTCATTTGCACAGTTTGGAGAGAGACAAATTTCACATACATAAAGTAAATCTTCAACAATGTGTAAAATGAAGGAACAGCATGTATCTCCGTTGTTTTAAATTTGTAGGAAATAGCATTGATTGCTAACGTAACTGTGGACTGTGTGTCCAGCAAATTAGAATGCGTAAAAATATGTCTTCTTCAGAGATATCTGAAGGCTATCTCAACTTAGAGCAGGTTTTTCAAATGGGGGAAAGAAAGAATATAATAGATGTGATTTTTGACAAAATGATAGCTGACTGCACAGTGAAAAGTTCATGGGAATTAATGCCAAGTCTTCCATAAAATCATCTAAGAGAAATGAGGTAAAACATTCTATTCAATGTGCTTCTTCTATTATTTCAGAACTCTGAAAGTGCTGATGCAGGATTTAATTATCCACATATGCATGTGCAGAGAATAATTTTCATTTTATTTCAAAGTTGGTTTAATTTTAATTTAACTATGTCCTTGTAATATACTCAGTGTGATCCTTCCTTGCAACAAAAGAAAATAAATATTTGAATAATTTTATTTTCATTAAAAATGTATACTCTTTAATCTTCTTTTTAGTTATTTGTTTTAGTATTTTTCATCTCAGACCCCAGACATTTAATGATGTCATGAAAAAATCATGGAACCTAAATTCTGGGCTGATCCTCCAGTTGTTGATACATCTCCCGCTGGGAATATGAGATAATCAATATCAGAAATGTGTAAAACTTTCAGGAAACACAGGTTATCTCAGAAAGTTTAAAATATAGTTTGGATTTTATATGCTTATTGAGGCAGTCTCATTTTAGTCTAGGAAAGATATTATAGTCTCTTTACGCTGAAGAGATGGTGCTTTGTTTTAAAGTGACAGGAACAGTTCTGCAATGCTATTTGTATTATTATAGGAACAGGTATAGTATGGACAAGTAATAAAAACAAATACTTCACTCCACAGGCTTCCCTAGGCAACTGCCAGATTTTTCAGAAATGTATTTTTAATAAGAAATTAGTTTGATTCATTGACATATTTATTTTTACATGAGTTTATATTGTTTTATATCACATGTATTATAAGAAGTGTATGTAAACTGTCTTACCTTCTGAGTTTCAGCTTCCTTGGCCATGATTGTCCAAACTTATGAAGAAAGCAAGTTCTGGACAGTTCTGCCTTCACAATTGCTGGAAAGTACAACGTTCAGTTAAACATTTCCAGGCTAAGAACATGGCTACATTACGTATGCCAGATTAACATTTTGATTCCTATATCCACCATTAAAATCCTGCGCTCTGCAAGCCAGATTGTAACACATATGTAGGAGTTAAATGCATTTTTTATTTTAAACTGAGCAATTTGGTTTTTAAGGCCCCCTGGCAGTTTGACAGTTCTTGCAGTTCAGTGTAAAATCTGACCACTCTCTCTGCTGAAAGTGCACAGAGTTAATTAATGACTTTACCTCTCTGTGAGTGGTAAATACCCATGTGTGAGTAATGTAGGGTAAGCAACATCACGCATAATGCTGAGACTGGATGAGAGAGGGGTTTTAACATTAGAGTTAGCTTGGTCATTTGAGGCAATCAGTAATGTAGATGGGTTGAAACTGTAATGAAATGTTGTTATCTGCTTCTGAAATTAAAATCATTTTGCCAGGAGATTAAAGTAACTGGTAAATCCTTCTGGTATGAAAGAGGAGATGGTACCCTTTTCAACCCCCACTGTCTCCAATGAAAGCATGCTCTCCAAGTATGTATAAGGCATGCTCTTTATGAGTAGTATGCTCTAAATCTCTTTAATGCTGATTAGTTTATGTTCTCTTGTCCAGATGTTTGTAAGACCATAATGAACCTCACAGTATGATTTATGTAAATGTATTGGATTGAAAAGACTTACTGTTCATAGGACTTTACAATATGTTCAATAAAAAGCAAGTCAACATGTGCAAGTTATTATTTATAGTGTTCTCGAATGATCCATGAAATCCCTTCTCTGGATCCGTAGGAGAAGTGTGGTCACTATCTTAAGAGTTGCAGTCTATAGAGAAGAGCTTGACATCTGTTATTCATTAAAGTAGAAATGGAAAGGGCAGCTGGAACTGCATGCATAAGGGGTAAAGATTTCAGTTGGACAACACGCTAACCAAAAGATACTGAAATATTTGCTTCCAAGGGTCTGGAATGCGGAGTGGATATGATTAGTGCTGTATTATTTGTATTAAAAAAAAAAAAAATCCATTAAATTTTTTAGCCATCCATGCAAAAAAATGAACAAAATTATTAATCTGCCTGTTGTGTGAGACTAATCTTCTGACAGAAAAAGCAGAGAAAACAGAAAAACAAATGAACAAACCAAACTCTGAAACCAAAACCAGCTTTACATTAAAAACAAGACTTCTTTAAAAACTTCTCATGCATTTTTCTTTTTTTCTACTTTCTTTTTAAAGGTTTAGTGGCATCTACCCATGAGTGTGAAAGAAATCATCCTGTGAGGCAAGAAAAAATTGTGAAAGATCATGTGCAATATACAGCCCTATATCAGTAAATTTTAATTGGAATTTTATTTTGGGGATTTCTAATCACTCTACAATAGCCCTTAATCTTTCCTTTCCCAAGATAAACATAATTTATTTCCTAATTAAAAGACCTCCTGAATATCCTTGTCAGAATGATACTATGAGTCTTACTCAGGCATATGTCCTTTTCATTCACTGAAATACTCTTGCAGGATTTTGATAATCCTTACTTAGGTGAATTCTCCATACTGCTTGTATTTAAGTAGATTTGGTTTTCACCTAATTTCAAAATGGAATATCTTAAACAAAAGAATAGGCCACTTCTCTGGATTGCCAAATTCTATCTGTATGACTAAATTAATAACATTTGTCAGCAGTTTTCACTTCTTAAAATATCTATGAACTGTCATTATACGCATGATTTCATCTCTGTAGTTTTCTGTAATTAGGAGATTACCTAAATATTTTGGATCTCATTTCAAAATGTTTAACTTTTTTTTTCCAGTCATGGAGTAAAGTTCTCTGTTTCAATGACTTAAATCTGTGTCAACAAGTCCACTAGGTTGCTTCTTAGGAAACAAAGGAGTAAGTTTTTCCCTTTTCTAAACAGAGTAAAATCAGTGTTTGATAGAAAAGCTGGTGAATAAACCAGATTTTCTGCCTAGATGGAATAATTGATGTATTCAGTGATGAAGAAGTGTGATCTCAAGTAAAATTGTTTCAGACAGTTGCTACGATAAAAGAACTTCTGTTTTTTTAATGATCCATTAATGACCGTTTTTTATTCTAGCTTCAGACACTTGAGAAATATATTTATAGACCACTAAACTAGTTGTGGGTTTTTTTTTCTTTTTGGTACTGACACAGGACAGAAGTTTTTTAAACTGGGATGGACTAATTCTAAATTCCCTTTACAGCATTTGTTACCTCTCGGAAAATGTTTTGCTCAGTTATTGTTTGAAACAACTGTTATTTTTGGTGGGTTTTTTTTAAATAATTTAAATTATCAACTGAGAGCTTAATTTAAAGAAAAATAAATAGGTGTTCCAAAATGGTGGCATATTCCTGTGTGGGTTTTCAAGGAAACATGATCTTTGTGAAAGAAATTATTATACTGTACCTGTTATTCCATATCAAATACTCCTAATTTCTCTATATTATCCGTGAAAGATCTTTATAGAAAAATGTTCACAGGTGAAGGTTGTTAATAATATTGATATCTTCTTGGTCAGACAAATCATTCTGGCACTGCATGAAATATGTATTTATATAGAATCATCAAAGAACATACTCAGTACTTTGAGAAATACTCAAAAAGGAAGTGAAAATGTGACAACTTTTGTATTTGAAACTCAGGAACATACAGGAAATGTTTGGGGAAGGGTTTTTATTTTTTTAGATTAATGGCAACGTTAATGTTTTCTTAAAATGGAGTTCCTGTATTTTACATTGGTCGGTGAACACAATAGTGAGCAGCATTTTCCACTCTACCACTCTGCGATATTCCTCCCCTGAACAGTGAAGATAAACATGTGATGCAAATATCTTCTGTCATACAAATGTATGTATTTTTTAAGTCTGTGATCAAAAGCTTCCATCAAAAATAGAAAACTGTTCTTTAGTCTTTGTTTTCCTGCCTACTGAATGCTTGCAGCCCTAGGCTTCTGTGCAGATTGCTTTCTAGGAGATTTCTTTGTCTCGTTCCATGCCCTTTTGGTGTCTTTTTTTATTTAACTTTTATTCTTGAAACAGCTGTCTCTTCACATGTACTAGATAACCCTCATAATCTTTGCTTCTTAAAATCTCTCCATAAAGCCACCTTCTCTTTAATAGCCTTCCAGATTTTTTCTTGTGTGCACTCACAACACACCTACTTCCACATTTTCTTAATATTCTCAGGTGGCAGCATAAGTCCAACAAAGAATTGTAAACAAGCTTGGTAGTATAAACTCAGTTGTGCAACTTAGTTTATAACAGGTCTAAACCTGTTAGAACAGTGGTTTCTTTTTTTTTTTTACTGTGATGCTGCAGACACAGATGTATGTAAAGTATTAGTATTTTCATAATTTTGATTGTGTCATGTATACACGCAAGGAAAGTCTTTGAGTAAAAAGGCTATCTTTTCTTAGCTTTTAAAGTGTTTATTCAGACTTCATACTATTTGAGAGTAGGTACAGTTGCAGACTTTGTGCTTTAGCTACTGAGATTAGCTCAGCGGGTTAGAGCATGGTGCTAATAATGCCAGGGTCATGGGTTGGATCCCTGTGTGGGCCATTCACTTAGGAGTTGGACTCGATGATCCTTGTGGGTCCCTACAAACTCAGAATATTCTGTGATTCTGTGATCCATGAGAAGCCTGTCTGTTGCCTACCATCTCTCAACAAACAAACGAAAAAAGAAAACCTTACAGGAAGTAAGTTTGACACATTTCTGTCAAGAAACTCAGAGTCCGGTGAGTATGAGCCTTAAAATAAGCAATGATAACCCTCTGTCATCTAGAGCTGAAGTGACACACCACCTCTGGAGCACTGGGAAGAAAAAACAAATTTGTTCAACACCCAGTATAGAAAGAGGCTGATGTTGCAAACTGCACTATACCTGTGTGCTAGTTTCGTCAGAACAGTTTACAATATCATAGTCTATATTTCAGTCTAAAAAATGCAGAAATAAATGTTGTGGGTATTATTACTACTGCTATTTTGGTAATTTGAAACTATGTCCTAGGTGTGGTTAAAAGGTCAGCGGTATTCAAATAATGAAGGGTTAAGTCTTGCTGTCATGAGTGGATAGGAGTGTTCAAAGTAAAACTGGCAAGCTGATCCATTAATGTAAAGCCAGACAAAAATATAGTTATTCAAAACAACAATAAATAGTATTTTCTTCACACAGGTAAACAATTTAATATTTCACAGAGTAAGAACTGTGTGACCTTGACAGACAGATTCACAAGTAGAGCTGCCGTACACTATTTGCTGTCACATTTTATGACAGAGGTTTTAGCAACATACAGTACACATTCAAAATGTTAAAAAAGGAGGTGAAAATCACTGTCTGTTATTAAAAGCTGTCTTCCTTGTGCAACAAACTCCACTAGGGAGGCAATACATTCTTCTGTAATACTAAAATATTGTAGTGTGTGTGCATGCACATGTGTATACTTTTAACTGTGTATAAAATAATGCAGCATCCTTGATTGTGCACCTGGAGAGGGCATTCTTAAAACAAATGACTTGATTCTAAGAACCTCTTTGTCATAGGGATTCACTAAAGTGAAATCAGAGCTAATCAATTTTTCTGTGAACATCTCTGTGGGATTTATATTCAGAACTCATAGTAGTAATTGCAAACCAAACCTGGGGCTTTTCACCTTAAATTTCATAGAATTGATTTGGTCTGCCAGATCTGGATTTCAATCCAGTCATGTTTGAAGGGAGAGGAAGAATGAATAGAGAAAATGATGAAGGGATTTCAGTTTTCAGTCCCTGTTAGTGCCAGGGCACCCAAGAACATTCTCTGTTATGTGATTTAAGCATGATTATGCAACTCTTCTTAATATGTGGTGAAAAAAATCTCTGACCCAAAGTATCCCTCTACTCCTATAACTCTATTATTGTGCAGGTCTGTTCCAAAAATGTAAGAGATCTCATGTATAACTGCCATAACTGATGAAAATAGTTTTCAAAAGGTCTCATTGACTCTCTAGACATTTTGATCTGGAGTAGATGTTGCATTATAAACCATTATTTTTGATTGAAATTCTGTAATCAAAATTTGCAAGATTTATTATCATAATGAAGGATTTTTTGGTGAAATTGGTATACTGCTCATGGAAGCCAATTTATGTTCCACATGTACAAAGTGATAAAATTATTTCCAAAACAGACAAGTATTGCACAGTAATT